TGAAACAGAGCTGATAATGCTTGTTGAAATACGATTGAGGCTAAGGAGGATAAAGAATGGGAAAACGAGAAGGCAAGAGACTTTGGTGTCTCGCAACAGCAGAAAAAGAGTCCTTAAAATAAATGGAAACCAATGGGGTGGGGGTGTCAGTCTGAGTAAATGATGCAAAAACAAGTAATGACGAGTGTGTACATGTCAGTCTACGTTCCTGGAGGTGTGTGAGTACAAGTGTGAACGTAACACTTCTTAGCCTCCAGGTTTTGTTCCAGCTGAGGCACTATGTACTGTAAATAAATAATATTCTTTTCTTGCCAAATATGTGCACACCCTGCCTTACCTTTCCTTGCCACTTAGTTTCAGCACAATTGTTTTAATAACCTGAACTCAGAGGCTGGAATTCCTGGAGGTCTGTCATCAGGTTAATTATCAATCCACCTTCCCCTGTTCGTTTCTGCGTCTGTAAACACAGTTTTGAAGATAATACGCCAAAAGCAGTCTCAGGAGTGCAAAGGAGTGCCAGAACCAACCTATATGGAATCGTTACTGGTGCTAAATGGTAAACTCGTACGAATTCCAAGGAAATCTATTTTGATTGGAGGTTGGACTGGTTTTCTGTCAGTTTCTTCACTCACACTCTTATCACATGCAGTATAGATATCTCCTAACCAATAACATCACCACAAGCACCACCCACTCCATCTTCCACGCACTGCAACTGCAACATTTACACTTACACTTACATTTACATTTACACTGGACTCTGACTGATGGATAGACTGATATCACACTCTGTCTGTCCTTGTACTGTATGTGCAATAACTCCTACTGCATCACTTTCTGAGTGCATACAATGTTTACAGCTGATTATTATTTTTACCTAGAGTACATTAATAATTTAAAAGATTCCAGAAATCTGTTGTTAACTATCTAAAGGAAGAAATAAATCTGTGCTGTGAGTATTCTCTTGGTGCCTTAAAGCATAGCCGAATGCCGAATGATTTAATTGTCAACGTGAAATGGTGCCATGTTATCTGACATATTTAGAATTAGTGACCAGTTTATCCATCAACTCCATCTTTTGAACTTGCAGATCATAAATGCTTGTGTAAACTGATCTTTGATTTATTGTGTTATTGTGTGCCAGGTGAAATTATTCTAGGTGCGACTGACAAACACGTGCAACATCCTCTTGGCATTACATTGTGTACCTTACCTTTTGCCAGGAAATATAAAGCTGTCCAATAAATTTCTCTTTAAAGTTTAGCTTTCAAGGCATGGGACTTTCAGATAGAGTCCTAATTCGTCACAACAATCTAATGAAAAATGGGGGGAAAAAAAGCTTTTGATATGTTAGATGTCTTGTAAAAGGATACCATAGTTTATATTAGAAGTTTCTAATATTAATAATATTTTTGTGAAATGACAGGACAAAGATTTGCATTAGAGATTCATGTTACGCCAAACGTATGACAAACAAAGTAAACTTAAGTACAATATCTTGCATCCATCCACTTGAATGAGAGTCAAATCTAGATTCCTATTTGTTTACGTTCACATTTTTTAATCCTCTCCCCTACAGAAGGCAAGCCTAGGACTGTTGCCATGGCAACAAGGGCTTCCCATTCAATCCCTCATTGGCTGAAACTCTCACTCGCGTTCCAGAGCAAGCAAATTACTTTGGCTTTGGCTCAGGACTCCCTCTCTGAGCCTAAGGGTGTGTGTCTGTCTGCGTGTGTAGGTGCGTGTGTGTGGGTGTGTGTGTACCATGTGTTCTGAAAAACTGCAGTGCATGCGCCAACTTGTACAACGTAGATGACACATCAGAATGTTAAGACGCCTCTTGAGGGATTTCTGCAAACACTAATTAAAACACACACACACACACACACACACACAGTTAGTACTTTGTAAATTTATGGGTCTTTTATGGTTTTATTTTGTGTGATATAATGATACAGTGCAACCAAAAAAAATAAAAGTGTATATAATGGAATTACTGGTCTGTGGGCACCCTTGTGTGTGTGTGTGTGTGTGTGTGTGTGTGTGTGTGTGTGTGTATATGTGTGTGTGTGTGTGTGTGTGTATGCCTGATCCTACCATGTCTCCTGTGGCTGAGGAGAAATCGCAACAAAAAACATCTGAGAATCAAAAAAGAGTAATTAATCAGCCGTGTAATAATGCACACAAATGCTCTGTGGTGTATATGCATATTCATGAGCGTGTGTGTGTGTGTGTGTGTGCGTGTGTGTGTGTGTGTGTGTGTATGTATGAGAACAATCTTCCAAGTCTTCACTACCCCTAATTGAATCAAAGCTGATCTTGCCAAGTCTGCCAGCTGCCAGGAACACACACGCACACACACACATGCACACATGCTCACAGAGAGAGATGTTAACATGGCTTGACATGATATTCTGACATTCAGGGCCTCACATACACGCCTGTGTGTTGTCTACTTAACCGACTGACACAAATATGAACGTATGAATCTCAGGTTTAATGACTTACTGTGACCTAACAGAGAGATACTTCAGTTATGATGTGAACTACAAACCATTTTAATTCTAATGTCAAACCCACTGCAGTGTGTGTGTGTGTGTGTGTGTGTGTGTAAGAGCAGTTGAAAATTAGTAGTGAACTGAAACCCCACACACCTGTTCCTTGTTAGCATAACCCTTTTCCATAGCATGTGGCTATCAGTGAAGTTATTTATTGAAGTTATCGCTCCAGGCACATATGGAGGATTGGCCAGTAAAATAGATCTGCAGGTTTGGTTTGGATTGGTATTGATGTATAGATAACGTGTATAGTCTAACACACCTGGTTTGATTCACCACCTATAAAACCCTGTTTGAATGTAGTAAAGTGACATATTTAAAAAATAACAATAATAACCTTTAAAAATAGCTTTATCTACTGTTTATTCAGTGTTATCTCAGCTCAAAATGTACCAGCGATGCTGTGACGTCTGCAGTGAAGTTGATTTTATCTGGCAAGAATAATTTATCCAGATAATGAGTAACGGAACATTAATGTGGAAATGGAGATGGTTTGGGGAAGTCAGAGCAAGAAAAGAAAAAGGAAAAAAAGAAAAACCTAAATGTGATGTGTATAGTGACACTCGCTTGTTAAACACCAGCTGTTCAGCATGCGGACTCAATGGACTTCATGAAGAAACATGAAGACCTGCAGTCAGCTAATCATGAAAGAGATCAGTCACAAGCTAACCACTTCCAAATGCTGTGACTAACTTATTATTCACTGCTGAGTAAAGATCTACACTTTAATAAAGGAATGTGTCAGTCTGAACAAACCATATCTTTATGTTAGAGATGAGTGTTGACCTTGAAACGACACCCACAGCCCTTTTGTCTTCTGCTGTGTCTTCTCTCATAGCTGACTGAGATGAGCAGCTGCTCTTGTCTTCTCTTTTATCCAGTTCCCGTAATCACTGCTGGAATCCGAGTATGTCATATGGGAGTGTTTATCTGAATACTCAAAGCTGTATGACAAAGGTTGATATTGGAGTATATCAAGTCAAGGCGAAATGTATCTTGAAACCGCAAACCATCACGTTCCTGTTCAGACTCTGACCAAGTAGAAACAGAAAATCCATTTTAAGACACACATTTAAGTCACACATCTGGGTTTTACATCAAATTCAGTCATCTATGGCCACCCTACCATACATGCATACTATTTTCCTTACTCAAACACACCTGGTTCAATTCACAATCCAAGGTTTTTGTGTGCATGAATGATGTTTATAAGCGAAAGGAAAGAAAAACCAGGAAAGATAGATGGGAAGAACAGGAATACACATGCCCTAAAGAAAACAAAATTGAAAAGTCAGTAGTTGTCACAAAGTCAAAAGTTAAATGTTGCTTGTTTTCTGTTCCCTAATGACTACAGCTACATGGCTAGGGTCAGGCAAGGTGAGATGGGAAATCTGCAGATGGGAGTTAGAGCTCATATGCGCTTGTACGGAGGAGGAATGCTTTTTCCTTCAGTGAACAAAGACCCACCTCTGGCTGCCCTTCAGTTTTTGCTTTCATGTCTCTCTTTCTCAGAAGCTACTCATTCAGAGAGAATGTCTTACAGGTTTAGGGTTACTTTAGCTGTTCCACATGAGGAGCATATTGAGACCTGTAATGTGAATCACTTTGAACCCATTAACTAGTACTGATTAATCAGATCCTGTACGCTTGTCCAAACGGCTTCACAAAGTTATCGCTGCAAAAAGTCCTAAAGTTCACTTTTAAGAATTTTAAATTCTTTTAATTTAGGGTCATTTATGCTTTCTGTGAGAACCTCAGTTTCCCTGCTGATGTGTGCTTCAAACATTGAGGAAATTTGGACAATACTTGCATAATATCTGTAGTTTCTAGTGGTCAAATATTTCCATTTCTTCAAAGAAAAGTGGAAGTAGCGGTAGAAATGCAGCCGACGAGCCTCACACATTTTAACAGCAGCGCTGCATTTTAGACCAGTGGGCACGTACGTGTTTTTTCTATGAAAATACTGCAAATGTATGCATTTTTATTATTTGTTTAATCACACCTTTTGCTTCTAGTTAGACAAAAGTCAGCTGAGCAGATATCTCTAATTCTCTGGTACCGTTATTGTAAAGCCATGTAATGTGCTTTACAATAATAAAGCTTATTCATTATGAAATATTAATGTTCTGTTTAAAGCAAGTACACTCTCATTACCAAACTGCACTGTTCCTTGTTGCTGGTGTAGTCCCAGCGAGAATACATCTATTGTACCTTTAGTATGTATCTTTCACCTGGAAAAGTGAATAAAGTTGTTGTTCTTCTTCTTTCAGCTGCTCCTGTTAGGGGTCGCCACAGCGGATCACTGGTCCGCATATTTGATTTGGCACAGTTTTTACCCTGGATGCCCTTCCTGACACAGCTCTCCCAAGTTTTATCTGGGCTTGGGACCAGCACTGGTACTGGGAGCGCACTGTCTTTTGTGACCGCAGTGGCTGGGATTGGTTACCTGGCCGGGAACCGAACCCGGGCCGAGCCTGTGAGAGTGCCGTGGCCTAACCACTGGTCCTCCAGCGACCCAGAAAAATGAATAAAGTATACCTTTTAAAGTATTTTAATGAACATAGCTAGAGGTTAAGGACCACTGATCTTCCTTTTAAAGTTTTAATCAAAAAGCTTTTGGGGAAATGAGTTCAATGAGTCCGTTAAAAACTCATTAAAAGACCACGTGCCTATACATACTAGGTACAAAAGATGTACAACAATGAAACGTGTAGTTTGGTAACTTTATTTCTGAGACTGTACAGCTATGATTGGTGCTATCTACAAAATATAAAAAAGACTACTAATTCTGATTAACGTCTGTGAAGCATGGCCAGACATTTGTAGATGATAGGCAGGCGCATCATCAACGTATGGATAACTACTTTAATCTATTTAGTTGTTAGTGTCACTGAACACCTTAACCATATTGACTGTACGTGAAATGTTACACGAAGCTATGTCACTTGAAATGTTACACAAAGCTTCAATCTTGCGTCTCAGTGTAGGGTGAAATTCCCTTTTCAAACAATGGCATGGCAGAAGTCAGGAATATTTAAAATGTGCACATCTTACACTTATAGACACTCTGAGTAAGTAACACAGAGCAGCTGGGTGAGTCATGTGAAGCATGTCGGAAAAGGATTTACACTTGGCCTGATGTTGTGGGGGAGGCCAGGAGAACCACCGTGAACCCTGGATTCCAGCCATTCCCCTTGGCTTTGGAGCTTCGTCAGAACTTCTCTCTGAACTCCACTGCATGGGCTAGGATAGCACTGCTGTCGCCATGGAACCATGGATTTTAAGCACTGAACTGGAAAATCAGTTCTAACTGCATGTTACGTACTCCCAAATTCTCAGGGTTATCAAGCCATTTTGACCAGGTGGTCACTTTCTTTAATGACTAATATTGTCCATTCCAGATAATCTAAAGAAATCTGGCTGCAAATAAATGATTAACAGCCAGTAAAACAAGCAAACACTTAATAAAGAACTGGTAAAAGAAGGAAATGGTTGTCATTCAAGACTTTGAAAAGTCAACTTGTATGAATTTTAGAAAGGTTATGTTTGGGTTGAGGGTGTTTCAATTGCATTTTATAAAAGTCTGGAATTATTTAAGCCACAGTTTAGAGCAATGTTTTTCCAATACTTCTCCTGACATCTCTCCTTACATTTATGGGATTTGGCATTTGCCCTTATACAGAGTGACTTACAGAAGTGTGAAAGGACATTTCATTTTACATTTATCTTATTTATCTCATACAAATGAGGATTGAGGGTTAAGGGCCTTGTTCAAGGGCCCATCAGGAGCAGCTTGGCAGGGATTTGAACTTACAACATTCCAATTAGTAGTCTAATGCCTGGGCCATAATTACACAGGAGCCTCTGCTGATGCAGTCCACAAAACTGGTTTACTTTCAAAACATCTTTTAGGTCAGAAGTCTCCAACCTGTAGGTGATCCTCTGATCTAGTTAGCTGCTTGACCAAGTGATTTGGAGAGACACTGAGTCAGCTCAGAAACATCTTCAGCAACAAAGCTAGAGCAACTATACTTTTATATATTGTACAATATACAGTATTATACTGTACTGGTATAAAAGTATATTGTAAAGATATCTGAAATAGTTTGGCTACCTAAAGGCATGGTGGGGTGACACCAACAAAAACAGCACGTTAAGTATCCAGAGATGGGATACATTTGTGTCTAGAGCAGTTTTATTTAAGAAAGGTTTAGGCATTGTATAGGGTGTCCCAAAAGTCTCCATACATAGGGGAAATTAACACTTTTAGCAAATTGACTTCCAAAATGTTTCATACTTAGCTTATATTTTTTTAGATAGCCTTTAAGAATGCCTTTGACAAAAGAAGAATGTATTGAAATCAGTCTCCACATGGTTGCGATGGACTCACAGGATAACAGGAAACATGGCAAGGACATCACACATGAGACTGTTGCCAAACTTATTAACAAATACAAAAAGACTGGACGTGTTGCGGACCAACCAAGATGTGGACGTCCACGAACATCTTGTGTTGTGGAAAGTCACAAAACTAGATAGTACCTGTTATCGTGGTATCGTTCCCTCAACAGTGTCAAGAATTTCCCATATCAGCAAACTTAATGTTGCAGCTTTACCTCTGTTAAGAAGGGCTGAGCGACACTGGAGACTCTTCTGCCAGAGCTGCTGTTAGAAACGCAAAATGAATCAATAACTTCTGACCAATGAGATTTTAGAATTGAGCTGCATTTTGGACCATTTGCATTCTGGAGGTCCAAGCAATTTTATTTAAAGCATAGGTTATATCCTCAAAACTCTTCAGAGATTGTATTTTCTGCCTGTATCTCTGGAACACAACTTGGACTAAGATAATTAACGTGGGATGAAAGAATAATGATTAGCAAGCAGTTCCTTCAAAGTTAAATAAATATCCAGTAAGCAATAATAAATGTAGGCTTTGCATTGTTGACTGCTTTTTTTTTCAGTAGGTCTGTTTTTATTACTCAAATATTACGTCTATTTTTTAAATGTTGTGATGATAAGCATGTGGCATGTGAGAGACGTGGGAATGGACTCAGCATGAAACACTCGCTCTCAGTTTACACACCAGCTGAACCTGTTTGGGATTTGAAGCTGCAGCCCATGTCAAGAACATAAAACATTTTAAACGTATGAACCAAGCCGAGTTCTCATACATCCAAAATGGGTGGTGGAACATGAATGTAAACTAACACCATATGTTTAAGCTATGGGTGTAACATATATATCTATATATATCTGTGTGTGTGTGTGTATATATATATATATTACACCAATCCTTTTGCAAAAAAAAAAATAAAAGAAAATGCAATGCATTAAAAAAATACAATCCAGTCCTACCTTTATTTATTTCCAGCTAAATATGTTATTGCTTGGCAAATGATTCACTGCATGTGCTTCATATAGCTTGTATTAGTACTGTAGGTGAAAACATAAAGGTATTATCAGAACCATCAGTACACTTGCACTTATGTAAAGTGATCATTAAGCTGCTGCCTACAACACAGTTAGAGGAAGAGCCCTGTAGGTTCACAAATGTGTTTTTGCTTTTACACCACTGTAAGTGTATAAAGTGTGCCATTTTGTGGTGAGTAAAGTGAACTACACCCTTATAATAATGTTTTCCTTTTATATAGCACCTTTCTAAAACTAAAGAATTCAAAAAAAGAAAAAACTAGACTAGTAGGAAAAAGTGTTTGGAGAAAAGATACGTTTTAAGTGCAGTTATACAGGTCCTGGCAGATGGTATGCTGAAGTTTTAGGGCTGGGCAATGTTGGGGAGCATAAAAAGCCATCTTTGTGAATGATCTGATATTCAGTTCAAAGGAAAGTGTCTAAAATTATACCAAAATTGCGAACATTTGTAGACGGTTTAACAATGATCTTATCTATCTTATAGTCTAGTCTATATTACTAGTCTATATTAACTGAAAATGGTGTCATTGTAGAGAGAAGAGTGTTGGGGCCAGCAAGTACACTATCTGTGTTGTCAGCATTTACCTTAAAGTTGGAGTCCATCCATGATTTCAGAGCATGAATACATTAAGGTAATAATGTGGGAAGAGCTGCAGTAGACTGAGATAAATCTAAGTGTCATCTGCAAAACAGTGGAAGCTAAGACAGGTTTCATGAAACCGCTATCCAAGGGGAAGCAGATCCATCCATTTTCCATACCACTTATCCTACACTGCTCAGGGCACAAGGTGGGGGACACCCTGGATGGGGTGCCAATACATTACAGGGGACTATCACACACACACATTATGGACAATTTGGAAATGCCAGTCAGCCTACAACGCAGGTCTTTGGACTGGGGAGGAAACCCCCCATAGAACAGGGAGAACATGCAAACTCCACACACAAGGTGGAGGAGGGATTCAAACCCCCAACCCCGGAGGTGCGAGGCAACAGTGCTAACTACTAAGCCGCTGTGCCCACCAGAAGAAGCAGATATACAGTGAAAAGAAGGAAACTAAGGACTGACCCTTGAGGGATACCTTGTGTGTCAGGGGCAGTAGAGGATTTATGTTTACCAGTAGTTATAAAATGGTATCTATTTAAAAGATAAAATACAAATCAGGCATAAGACAAGCCAGAAATACCAACAGAGGAAAGGCAGGAAAGCAGAATGTCATAGTTAACCATGTCAAAAGTGGCACTGAAGATCTAATAGAATAAAAATGTTGATGGCACCGGCATCAGCAGAAAAGAATAAGATCATTTGTGAATCTTGGAAGAGCTGTATCGGTACTGTGTAGATGACAGAGAAAGGCTCAAAGAGATAGTTGTCTTGTCTTGTAGTGGAGAGACGATCACTCTTTCTAGGAGTTTGGACAGAAATGGAACATAATGTAATGAAGTAATGTAATTTACTGTTGTTAAAAAGGAAAGTAGTCCAGAGGAGAACAGGACCCACATTATGAGTGTTTTCCTTATTACGTCCTGCATGTGTGTGCTTTGAGCTGGAAAACTTTCTCCAAAATAAACAGAGCCTGATCAGTTGTGCCCTAAGCGACCCCTTATACCATTCAAAACAGCCCTGCCTATAAGGAACGTTGTACAAACAAAAACCTGTACAGTTAAATAGTCAACAGAGCATCTCTAATTTATTACTACTGATACTGACGCAGATACACTTGATTTTTACTTCTAATCAGTAGCTTTTCCACTTCATTTTGCATGTTCATTTCTGTTTACTTTTTACTTTTAGGTTGTGGTCTAGATCGGTGGTTATTGAAGTGGCCAATCTACTCGTTCGTGTGTGTGCGTGTGTGTGTGTGTGTGTGTGTGTGTGTGTGTGTCCAGTAGATGGCGGTCACATTTCATCTGGCGTTCGTCTTTTGGCTCCCAGCCAAGGTTCCACATATATATATATATATATATATATATATATATATATATATATATATATATATATATATATATATATATATATATATATATATATATATATATATATATATATATATATATATATATATATATATATATATATA